CTTGGTCTCTTAACAGTTTGCTGTCTTCCTAGGACTTCTGATGATTTTTAAATTATCTGTTCTTCCTCACTTCTCCTTCCATATATATTGGTCACTGTGTATTTTTTGCTGCTTCCTACTCATTTCTGTCATGTTATATCCAAACTTTATTTCTACGTCTTCAGCTTTCTCTGTCCTGTGCCTCCCCTCAGAATCCCTGCATTCTTGGCATTTTATTGTAGTATAGGTGGAGAGGTGCTAACAGGAAAGGTTTTTATTGAGAGCTATTCCTGACCTGTTCCCTGGCCCAGCATGATAAGAAGGGTTATTAAAAAATAAAAAGCTTGGAGTCTGCTAAGGATACAGGCTTTGTTAATTCATGGACCATATCAGAGCTGTGTTTGTGGTTCAGTACCTCAGGATGTGCGTGACTGCTTGTTCACTGCTTCTGTGGCCCAGGAAGTCATTAGGAGTATTTCCCAAAGCCTTATCCCAGGTCTCTGACAGAAGCAGACTTTCTCTGTAGCCAATTTTAGCTGGGGAAGGGAATTACCCTCCTGTTTCCCAGAGAGAAGTCAGCTGTGACTGTGTGATTGTAAAGCTGTTTTGGAGCAAATTGTGCAGGACATTTAAAAGGCTTGGGGAGATCAGAAATCTGTGGATTTTTTTTTTATTCACAATTCCATCAGCTCTGAGAAGTGGGGACTTCTGTTCCTGTCAGGACAAATGAGGAAAAACACAATACAAATTAAGGATTTCTCCTTTTCTTCCACAGATGTTGTCAACTTGGACCTGAAGTCTACCCTCAGGGTTCTGTACAACCTTTTCACCAAGTACAAGAACGTTGAGTGATCCTGGAAGCTTCTGAGATCTCTTCATCCTTCAGCCTCCCCAGGCAGAAGTTACAATAAACACGCCCTCTGCATGCTCCCATTGTGCCTTATGCTATGTACTTCTTGCATTCTTCCTACAGCTGATGTGTTCTTTCTGTAGCTGTTTGCAAGACAATCCCACTAAAAATGATGCATGTATATTCTCCAGGTCACTTGAAAATGTGTAGGTATTTCACACTTTTGCCAAATGGATCTGTTGTTTGCTATGACCCACAAATGTTCTTTTGAGAAAGGAAATATACCACTAACTACTTTAATAAGCAGGGAGAACATGAGACTTTCCTCATGGCTCAAGACTCTTTACTTCTGCAGAAGACTTTCTTTTGCATACTCTTTGGTTGCAACTGGCATTTGATGATTTTCCAGGCTTAGAGTGTTAACAGTAGAAAATCACCTTTGGAATTTATTTAGAAGCTGAGCCTTTTCTATTAAATAAGGGTTTGTGTGTTCTGTTGGGTGGGTTGGCTGAGGGGAATTACAGGCACTGTCTGAAGCTAATGGCAAAAGCTTCAGTTTTTGTGTTCACCTCTTTCTACTCAGTGTTACTTCCATTCAGTGTTTACACAGAATAAGTCTTGCAATGGGATTACCAACTAATCCTTTGGTGTCTATTTTTTATTTAATCTCTTCTAGGAGAAAGTTTGGTTGCTAGGGCCACTGTCACCTGTTAGGCAGCTTCAGTCAGGTTGGTCCAGAGCTGGTCACACAGGCACAGGCTGGGTTAGTGCATTTTCCCCTGCACTAACTAACAGAGGGAATGTGCTGGAGCAGGAGCTATCTGAATGGATTTTTGAGGAGAGCTTTGTGGAGGAAATGGGGTTGGCAATTTCAGAGTAAATGATATGTGGAATATGCATTCAGTATCACCCTTTTCCTTTGAGCACACAGAGGAGAGATTTGATTGCTGCTTTTATGTATCACAGCAGCAGCTTTTGTTTTATGGGCATCCATTGTTTATGGGCTGAAACACTAGGCAGAGTGCCCTGAAGGAGAGCAAGTGCAATTGCTCTGCTCCATAGGCTCACTTGAGTCCAGTTGTAAGTCAGCATCTTCTTTCCCTAAATTTCAATTTTTTTGCACCAAATATTATTTGCCTTTGAGCTCAGATTCAAGAGAAAACATGCTATTTGAATGGTATAATTTTACAATTGGGATTTTCTCCTTCCCTTCTCAAGCAGTTTTTCATCTCAGAGGGAGAGAAATGAGCTTCTGCTTCTTTGCTTTGTATTTTTGGGTTCTGAGTTCTAGTATTTGGATTACTTGGATCACCTTCCCTCACACCTCTAAAAAAAAGAAAGGTGGAAGGAAGTTGCCCTTTTTTTGCATGAAAAATTCAGATCTCCTCTGCTCTGCAAGGCTCTCTGGGGAATCTTTGCATGCCTGTGCTTTAGGAAGGAGCTGACTTCTCTCTGTTTATACTGAGCCTGGAACAAGGATGTGCAGGTCATATGGTGCCACTAAACTCCACCACAACACCAACAGAGGAGACTTGCACCAAGAGAGATGCTAAGGCCTGGTGGACAGCTCTCCTGGCAGGTGAAGGAAATTGGTCTAACTTTTGTGCTGAGAAATAAAGGTATCATGAGGCTGGAAGGTCACTGAGCTGAAAAGTCTCTCAAACTTTTAGTTTAATGCAGGGTTATTTGCAGGAAGCAAGTCTGTTAAATAGTTGTTATTCCATCCTCCTTCCTTCAGGTCATGTGGAGGTGCCAGCTCTGTTTATATTCTCTGAGTTGCTGGGAAAGACCTCCAGAGAGTGTAGTTTTTGAAATTGCAAGCAGTATTAATATCAAAAGCAAACAGAAGATAAAAAGAAGGTATGAGTGAGGGTGATTTGGCTTTAGAAAGGGAATGGTTGTTTGTGAGCTGGGATCATAGAGCTGGCATCTTCAGGGCACATAAGCAGAGGTGAGCAGGTTATGACAGGTTATGAAAGAGTGTCTGTTTTGTTGAATTCTGTGTTTCTGGTCCCCTTGCTACAACCACGGGTCTCCTTTAGCATTCCTTCTGTTAATGTCCCTGTCAGCAGGACTGCGCCTGGATCAGGAGTCACAGCCTGTTCTGTTGTGGTCTTGTTTGTTGGGAGATGTTGCACAGGGAAAATACTTTTTTTCATTCCTTGGCTCCTGGCTGTCTGGCCAGCTCACTGTTCTGTAGACACTGTATTTATTGTTAACCAGATTTGTGAGCAGGGCATATTGAACTGACATGTGGCTTCATCCCAGTGAGCCCAGTTTCCAGGAGAAGCCATGTAGGTAAAGCTTCTCTGAACACCTGCTTTTATCCTGCCTTTCTGTGACACATGCACCATAATTCTTTGCCTCTCAGAAAGCTGAGTCAGTGTTAAAGATGTTATTCATGATATTTTTGTGTTACTGGGGGGTTTTACATATGGGTACCAGTCTGAATCCTGTTGAGTTCATCTGGAATGCTGAATGCTCTGCAGCATTAAAGCTCCCACATTTGTAAGTGCTTAATGAATGTTTGTCTTTTCCTGTCCATACAATTTGACTTTTATGTGCATTTACTTGACACACTCAGTTACAGTGAGCTGTATTACCACTGAAAAAGCTCATATAGTCCTCAGCTTCATTCTGTTTTTCAAGATGAAAAATGGACAGTGGCAGATTTTTTAAAATCAATTTAAACTGTCTAGAATTTCTTACCCCTCTTCCCCACACCCCAGTACTGTCAGTATTAATGTGTTTTTTAAGAGTCTTTTCTACTGTTTTTAACAGTGTTTACTCTGGATTTCTAACTACTAAAAACCAGCCTTGCAGATAAAATTCTGGACTTGTCATATGTTGGAGATATCCATCTTAGTGATGAGTTGTGTACTGTAAGCAAGTTACAATGCAATGCTATGTTTGCTAAAATTCACAGCAGGAGTGTTTATGCATGGTTTTTGACAGTTGTACTATTTATTCAAATAAACAAATAATGATCACTGTTTTCTACTTTTTTTTTTATTCTCAGTGGAAATATCTGTGGGAAGAACTTAGGGATGATGAGCCTCCCTTTGCTCTGGTGTGCAGAGAGTGTAGAGTGGCTCTCCAATACAGCAGGGCTGTGTGAAGGAGCAGAAAAATGCATTATCAGACCTTGTTGTTTTTGTTGAATCCTTGAATTGTTCTTCAGTGGCTATTTTTATGTGGGGGCCAGGTGTTTGTGGTGGGGGTGTGTGCATGAGATGTGCTTTGAGAACTTACAGAAACACCCACCCTGGGTCAGCCCCTTGGAGCTTGTCCAGGGATTTCTTTGCCCTATTTTCTTATCATGTCTCCTCAGATTCTGGTTGCAAAACAAAATGTCCTTGTTAGAGGCTCCCTTCTTGAGATTAAGACTCAACAGAATTTCAGGAATGTTAAAAGGGATTGCTTATTACTGTAAAATCTAAGAGAAAGGGTAGGAAAACTCTAGGAACTATATAACCATGTATTAACAGTCATCTGCAACGCAACAAATACATGAAAAATGTATAAAAAGCAAAAAATATTTAGGCATCATAGGCATAACATCAAATGCAACTCATACAGGATCGACTACTGTCTGTTTAAGTCTGGATACTCATGCACTGGTCATACATCAGGTTTTGGAGGGAAATAGGTGTGTTAATAAATGCAACTCACAGCTGGAGGAAACGTTCAGGGAAAGTGGTTTCTGTGGGGAGCTCTTCCTCTTTAATCACTGATGTGAAAGGGGAGGAAGAGCAGCAGCACTGCCTGCTGGAGATAACTCATATCTCACATCAGGGTTTTTGGCCCTGGTGTGGCTAACTTCCTCTCTAAGGATAAATAAATTAATTTTGTAGGTTTCTCCTTCTGCCAGGTAGGTAGAGTGGTGCTGTTCTGCTTTATAAAATACTGGAAGGAGCACGACGAAAAGGTGTATTGGAATATGATGTTGTCTGCTTTTGTCTAGGTTTTTATTATTTACAAAGCAGAAGTGCTCTGTGAGTCACGCCAGAGGCAAATCGGCCCAGTCATGCTGGACAGTGCCATCCAAGAACAATCATATCTTTTTAATACCTTCTGGTGCTTCAGGAGTTGCAGGGCTGCATGTTTCTGCACTTGTGTTCCTGTTTATTTCAGTCTCTGCAGCAGGGGCCAGCACACACAATTAAGTTCCGGATGGGGCCATGGTTTCGTTTTTAAGAGCAGAGAACTGTGGCACAACTTCCCCTTTATGTGCTTTGTGCTGCCCTGCATGGGAGACCTCCAAGCCTCGGCTCAGCCCTCACCCCCAGAAATTGCATCCTTACTGCTGGGACAAGGTCTTGGAAGAGCTTCTGGAGAGTTACTGAAGGAGAGAATAGTAAGTCTGGAAAGTGGGGCTCCTTTGGTGCTTTTTTTCATAATTAATGTTCCTAACTGGGGGATTTTCTGTGTCTGTGTGTCTTGTTCTTACTAAGATAACATCTCTTCTGATACTTATGAGCAAACATGGCTCCTGAGCAGTCTGGTACTACACAGAGAAGTGAATGTAAATTTTAAACTGGGTGCACAATGTGCATTCTTTTTCCCCCCCTCATTTATTTTTTCATTCTGGTTTCCCAAAGGTCAAAATATTACTACTAACATTCCCATTTGGTTTTTTTCTCCTCCTTTGTGTGATCTACTTGTTTGAGCTAGGCAGAGTGGGGCTTTTGTCTTTTCAAACAGGAAATGAAACAAGTGAAAGAGTTTGGTAGCACTGGAAAGTGCCTTGTGAATATTCTACAGCTGATTTGTAAGTCAGAGACCCCCATTAGTGCTTTGTGTGGTGCTTTGGGGATGTCTGGGAGCCAGACCCTGTGAAGGCTCATGGAGGAAAAATGAGCTCTGACCCAACTTGAATTAGTTTTTTATCAGTAGGTGTGACATGGCAAGTTTGTGCAATAGCCTAACTCCTGACCTAAGAACAATTCTCTCTTGGCAGCCACTGCAGGTGGCACGCAAGAAATCAAACACCCCTTGGGTTTAAAGGAAAGCCTGTGCATCCAGGGCATTCTCAGAGAATGAGCATTTCATTCAGAGAATGCAATTTCCTTTGAATACGCCATAATTAAAAATCTATGTTATTTAAAGATGCTGTAATGAAATGCCTGTACAGTCGGTATTCGAGCAGTTGTCTCTTACAATGTATTCCAAGTACTGATAAAAAACCTTGTGTGGGAGGATGAGGGCTGGAAAACCAGAATGTCAGCCACAGCTCTGAGCAGCAAATTTATCTGATGGGAGGCAGGAGCTGGTTGCAGCAAAAATGGAAATTTGTGTGTGACAATCAACTTTTCTGACCTTTCCTGTTTATCATTAAACAGTTCACCCAAGGAGGTGTCCCAACACTGGCATGTTCCATTTTGTGTTGTTCCTGCAGTATGTTATTCTCTGAAAGGCTGTTGCCTGGGACAAAGCCTCACCAATATGCTGCACAGCCACATGAAGGGCTGCTTGTGAATGCTAATTATGAGTAATAAGCAATGGATCTATTAAATGCTGGAGAACTGCAGGCTCTGAAATGCCTGTGGGAAATCAATACTGATAAATGTGAGCTGAAATACAATAAATGATGGGCTCTCATTGGTGTGTTGCTATGTAAGAATAAGATCTTGGAGATCTAATAGATAATTCCCAATAAAGGGTCAGCAGTGATGAAAAAAGCAAGCAGGACTTAGGAGGAGAGGAGCAGAGACCACTGTGCATGCTGCAGTGTGCCCTTCTAAATCTGGGCAGGTCTGGTTCCTAGCACTTCCAAACGGCTGTGATCATGCTGGAGGAAGCTCAGAAAAGAACCCTGAGGATGAGCAGCTGGTTTTCCAGGGAAGGGTAACTATAGGCTGTCTTTGCTAAGTTTTGGAAAGAGATGGACATGGAGGCTCTGGGCTTCTAGGGCAGGAGTGACACGGAGCATTAACACAGTAATGTTAATGAAGTGAAAAATGTGGATCAGCTGGTGTTTGCCTGGTGCCTTCAGGAACAGCTAGCTGGTGGATCAGAGCTAGAAACAGGAGATGGGGCTTCAGGTGGTGTAGGGCCACACTGCACCTCCTCACTGCTGAGAGCTGAGAGAGACAGACACATGTTCAAGGGGTGAGCACGGAGTTCATGGGGAGCAAATGTGCTGACAGCTCCTAGTGACCAGGCCCACCAGCTTTGCTTTAGGAAGTCTGAACTGCAGACTGTTAAGGTGTTTTGGAGAAGTGTCTCTATATCCTTGCGCTGCTTATATATTTTGGGGTTCTGTTTTTTTTTTTTCCTAAGGTACTGAAAGGGGGAAACCAAGCAAGTTAATCTTACCCAGGGTAGCAATTTTAACTCTGATTGATTGACACACAGGACTGAGGCCCTAGAGGATATTATGCCACCTTATTGCAAATTCTGAATTTCAGGCCTTTCCTTACAGGTTTCCAAATTTTAGAGTGGCTTCTGATGTTCAGGTTCCTTGGCCAAAAAGAGCCCGGGGGTGTGGCAGGCAACACACCACTTTGATAGCTGAAGAAAGTTAAAGATACACAAATGGAATATTGCAAAGCTGAGTGAGAATAAGTTGTGGCTTACACAGGCCTTTTCTTTTATAAGCTGGACTTCCCCAAGGCATCACAGCTGTCAGAAACCTAATTTAAAAATAAGTTGTCCTTTGGGTTGCTCTCTGTTAATTAACTTCTCTCAGTTAATTTCATCTGGGCAGTCTTATCTCACACAGCTCAGTTGTTCCTCAGGCACTACATCACTCAATTTCTCCTATCTTTTTTAATCAAGCACCTTTTTGCAGATGGCATTCAGTTTGCTGCCACCATAATTAAATGAATTCTCTTGTGATCCTTTCTCCTAGTGCCTTGCTGGCAATTTTGTACCAATTTGTTTTACCAGATTGATGTGCAAAAGCATCCAATTACTATTTTCTACTCATATTCTGTCAGCTTTGGAAAATCTTTGTTAAAACACATGTTCATAACATACTGACTGGCCCTTGTAAAAAATATGTGAAAGCCTTCAGAGCAGCACTGTGCTCTTTGGTATATAAAGCTATTGAGCAGAGGAAGGCCACTTTGGAGATGTTCTGTGCCACAGCATTTTCAGCAGGTGCCTTGCTCTGAGTGGTGGAAGCACCTCACTTCAGGCACCTGCAGCACCAGCCAGGTGCCTGAAGTGCACTTTAGGAAGTTTCTTTTCCTAAAACTAGGATTAGCTACTCATTTAAATGCTCTTTGTTGTTTTTTTTTAAAAGTCCCATTTCCACTCATTTCACAGGAAGAGTCAGGAAACAGGGCTCTCAATGTGGGCACCGTGGGTAGGGAGTGGAAGAACTCTCCTGCAGGAACCTCTGAAGCATCTCATTTTCTGTTAAAAAAAGCACAAAACCAGTCAGCATCCCCTCTCCCTCTCCTACCGTGGCCCAGCAATAAAAGACTGGTCATGACAACTGCTCTGCTCTGACTTCCAAAGATTTTTGGACTGTTGGGAAGGATGAGTTCTCTTACTCATACTAGAACTATAGTCTGCTCTAAGTGTCCAGAGCCCTCATCCTCCTGTAATTTCTTTCACCTCTGTAGGCCACAGTACAATTGCAGTTTGTAATTCTGATTTCTGGCACTTAAATCAGCGTGCATTTAGTTTATGAAGAACCATTTTGCTTCTTGCATGTCTGGAAGGCTGGGCCCAGAGAGCAGTGGGAAATGGAGTCAAATCCAGATGGTGACCAGTCCCAAGGAGTCCCCAGGGCTCAGCACTGGGGCCAGTCCTGTTTAATGCCTTCACTGATGATCTGGACAAGGGGATCAAGGGCACACCCAGTCAGTTCATGGACAGCACCCAGCTGGGTGGGAGTGTGGATCTGCTGGAGGGCAGGAAGGCTCTGCAGAGGCTGGACAGGCTGGATCCATGGGCCCAGGCCAGTGCTCTGAGATTCCACAAGGCCAAGGGCCCAGTCCTGCCTTGGGTCACACCAACCCCCTGCAGCTCCAGGCTGGGGCAGAGGGGCTGGAAAGATGGGAAAGGCCCTGGGGGTGCTGGGGACAGCGGCTGGACAGGAGCCAGGTGTGCCCAGGGGGCAGGAGGCCAATGGCACCTGGGCTGTGCCAGCCATGGTGTGGCAGCAGGGCCAGGGCAGTGACTGTCCCCTGGGCTGGCACTGCTGGGGCCGCACCTCAGATCCTGGGGCACTTCTGGGAACCTCAGGACAAGAAATGGACATGGAGGGGCTGGAGCGTGTCCAGAGAAGGGAACGGAGCTGGGGAAGGGGCTGGAGCACCAGGAGGGGCTGAGGGAGCTGGGGGGGCTCAGCCTGGAGAAAAGGAGGCTCAGGGGGGCCCTTCTGGCTCTGCACAACTCCCTGACAGGAGGGGACAGCTGGGGGGGATCAGGCTCTGCTCCCAGGGAACACGGGACAGGATGAGAGGAAATTGTCTCAAGCTTTGCCAGGAGAGGTTCAGGTTGGACATCAGGGAAAATTTTTGCACTGAAAGGGTTCTCAAGCATTGGAAGAGGCTGCCCAGGGAAGTTCTGGAGTCACCATCCCTGGAAAGATACAAAAGCAATGGAGATGTGGCACTTGGGAACACGATTTAGTGGTGGGTGAACAGTTGGTACTCAATGTTCTCAGAGGTTTTTTTCCAATTTAACTGATTCTATGACTCTATACTAGAATTTGTAAAAGAGACTATTCAGATGCCAATAGCTGTCCTTGTCTCCCCACATCTGTACCAGCTAGTCCAATAAAGGAAGCTGCTTCTATTTAGTAACTTGTCTCAGTAATATAACTACTGAATTCTTGATTTAATAGTCCTTAATAATTTTTTATTATTTTTTATATTTTTCAAGCATTCATGGTTTTTCATGTCCATGAATACCTAGGGAAGCTTGTTTTTCATTTCAATTGAAATAGGATTTTACTTATCTAATACAGGGAAAATACAACTAGATGTGATTAAAACAAGTTTTAGTTCAGGTCTTCAGGTCTTTTTTTCCTATGTTTTGATGATTAACCCAAAAAAATGAAAATTGTTTTTAACTTCTTTTTCTTTGCACACATTTAAATATATTTTCAGATTTTTTTTAAAAGCAGCTAGTGATGAAATAGTAACTGATAAAACCCCCCTTCAGTTTGTTTGTTTTCTTAGCACTAATTTGGATCTTTATGTCTCTTTACTCATGTTCCCTTCCCCGCAATGTTTTTTACCAGTTTACCAGGAGTGATTAAAGACAATGGATCCAGACTTTTTAAATGCATTTACACAGCCTTCTACACTTGATCGATTCCTAACTGAAGATGTCATTGCTAAAGGTATGTGCTTTATGAACCAGGACAGAAAAAAGGCCAAAGAATCACCTGAAGGGCCAAACAGAAAATGTGCTGTACAAATGAATTCTATATTTTTCAACAGTGATCCCATGGCTGTATCAGAAATGAGTAAGCCCTGTGTGTGTCATTTGGCTGCTGACTCTTTGGGGACAGATCATGAAGAAGCAAAACAAAGTCCAGCTGGTTCTTTAACTGAAATTTAAGTTTCACACATATCTGACCAAGTGTGTTTTCCTCTTTCTAGAATTGTCCATCTAGATCTTACTCATCTGAAGTACACTGAAGCATAATTTCCAACAGCAGGTTTAGTAGTCCGCTATACCAGTTTTTTGCTCATAAGGAATTAGCTAAAATGAAAAATAAATTCTTCTACATCATGCAATCAGCCATACTGGGAATATCAAACTGATAGCAGATTTAGCTGCACTTGCTTTAGTCATATCTGATAACTGTGATAGATCTTGTTTGCTTCCTTCCACAGGCGAGAAGAGGAAACTTATAAAACCAACCTCAAGCAACAACCCCAAACTGGAAGAATTGAAACTGGTACCACTTCTTTTACTGCATTGTTTAGCCCTCACCTCAAGTTGTGTTAAAGCAAACAAAGAACCTGGCTCTTTAATCTCTTTCAGCCCTGTAAATTGCCCAGCCTTGTGACCCCAGTCCCCAATCTCTGCAGATGGGAATGAACTCTGCTTTTGGCATTTGAGTTTCACACAAAGAATGCCAAACTTTTGTTCCAGGACAGCATCAGGGTGGCTGGGGCCATACAGGATCCAGCTTCCAATTCAGTGAGCACTGCTGGGTGTGGAGTGCAGATACAAACCTGAGTGGCTTCTGATGTGACACCTCTCCTAACCTGGGCTGCGTGGGTGAGCCACACCAGAAGCACCCAGTTGCTCTTTCATTGTGAGGGTAACGTAGCAGCTACAAGAATCCAGGGATTCTTGGGAATCTTGGGATCTCAAGCAGAAATGTCAGCATTTGCTGTGACTAAAAAGAGATATGGTGCAGGTTTGCTGCACTGATCCCATGGTAACTTTTAGGAGTGCTCTACTGATTTGCAGCAGCCTTCACCAGCAGCTGGCTCAGCTGGCAAGGTTAGCAGAGAGCAGAGGGGGATGGGATGAAGAGTATGAAAGTCACCAGGAATTCAGGATGAAAGCTTTCAGGCCCTTCTATGGTGCATTACCTTCTTGAGGTAACTGTGAAGGATGAGTCCTATTCCACAGGCAAGTACTTAATTTCCATCTAATTTTGAGTCTCTCCAGTGAGTTCAATCACTGTTTCAATTTCTCTAATGACACAGTCCACATAATAAAACTTCCAGGAAGAAAAATGGCATGTGTCTTTTGCATTCTTTGCATTATAGAGGTGCTGAAATTGTTATAAATATTATGAAAAGCAGCTTAAGATATGTGCTGTTGTTTGTATTTTGCAGCATTTATAAACATGTAGGCGTGTTTCTATATTAGGTATTCATGCACATTTGATCAAAAAGTTTTGATTTTGTGTCAGGTTTTCATGATGTTGTTATACCAAAGGGAAAGTCTGAAAAGTGGTGCTGCAAATGCAATTATGTTGTCTACAGAAAGACTGGATTTGTTATTTTGAGATTGCCGAAAATGAAGAGTTTTCCTCAGTTATGAAAATTTCTGTGAGCTTCAGTGCTTAATCCATTTCCTGTTGGAGATTCCTGAAATTATGTTCATCACTGCCCAATGTCTTTTCTTTGGGTGATGAGGAGATGGAAATTGTGTCCTGAGGGAGACAAAGTCCTCTGGGTTTCCATCAGTGCCCCTTGATTGCCTTCCTAATCTAAAGACTTGATGGCTTCTCTAGAGAAACATTTGGGATGGAGACAGGGACAGGGAGGAATCTTCAAGGGAAGAACAAGGGAAGCAAAGAAACTCACTGGGGAGAGACACTTTCACTGCATTTTCCTTTTGAGGTGGCTGTGGAGAAGTGAGAAATACAAAATGGCTCCCTGTAGTTGCTATACGTATGCAGCTGCATGTAAAATAGAAGATGGTTAAATTTGGAAGCCAGCAGCAAACTTCACAAAGTATTCCTTTTCTCCTTTCTTGTTTGCTCATTTGTAGACAGGAGGATCTGCTCTGCAGCTGAGTGGGGCCCCCACAACTGAGCAGAACTGTGTGAGCTGCAGGCTGGGAGAGCAAAGGAGGGATGCCATAGGGCTGCTCGGCAGTGCTTGCTGCTTTTCTTACTTCCCTCTGGCTGGACTCTTGTGTTCAGAGTTCTGCTCTACCCCTCACACCTCCGAAGTGTCACCAAGCTGAAGAGCACAGCTTTCTGCTCTTGTTATTTCTTAGCCTAGGATGCCTTTTACAGTTTGACAGCTTCGCAGTTCAGGCTTTTTTATTTCTTGTGCAGTTTCAAGCTTCTTAGAGATTTTTCAAACTGTTCTTACATTTTTGTTAATGTTGGCGAGTTTACAGGAATCTGGTACGAATTTTCTCCTCTGTTTACAGCAAGTGAGAAGGATATAATCCACTCCAGACACTCACTCATAACGATCACAGCAATAAAAGCAATACCCTTCCCTCTTAAAAGAGGGATGCTCATGTTGGCAGCCAGCTGGGGCTACTGCTTTTCTGTTGTGCTTCACCAGGTCATATTCCCTTTCCCTCAACACATGTGAAAAAAGCACATGCTTGGAGAAGCACTGAGGAACTGCTTTGTTCTTCCACGTAGAAGCACATGTGGTTCCTCTCCTTTTGTAGCCAGACCTTGGCTTCCTGAGCAGCTTCCCCTTTGCAAAGGCAGGAAGGATATTGGAAGGCCAGTGGGAGGACTACCATGTAAGAAAGTTCCAAGGAGGTATTTGGGGATTGAGTGGTACAATATTACAGAAAGAAAAAGAAAACAAAACCAGGGGATGAGAGGAAGGAGTGCTAATAGTGTGGATGAGTACAAGAAACTACCCACAGAATGAGCCAAGACGCTTTTCCTACAAACTTCTGCCTGGCAGTTGAATTTGTGTGAATTCTGTGATGTGGGATGAAGGCAGGGGATGGGAAGTGTACTGTGGAGCCTTTTCCCCGGTGGAAGTGGGAAGAGTGTCTCTTTCCTGAGCTGTGTAACATAATTCCTCAGACTATAAGTAGCGAGATGTCTGTCTCACTTGATAATTAGGAAAAACGAACCCTTTAGAAAACTACCAAAAAGCACAAAGGAAGTGGAGATTGAAAGCAAACCAAGATCTGAGATAAGGGACTGAAGAGAAGTGAAACAGAATATAGCACTGAGTGCTGTGCTGTCTGAACAACAGGATTATAATTGCTTTGTTTTCCCCTGCAGTTCTTGACTGAGTGGATCAACAGAACTCTGAAAGAGGAACACATAGTAGTTAAAAGTCTGGAAGAAGATCTGTATGATGGGCTGGTACTTCATCATCTCCTGGGTGAGCTGGTCCTTTGAGTTTAGCTCTTGCAGACATCTCATGGAGGAGCTTTCCAATCAGAGAATAAACCTCAGGAATCACAGCAGCAAGGACCTGTCATCACTTCTCACTGCACTGAGGGCCAGCTGTGATAATCACAATTCTGAACAAATTCCCACTATTGTTTCACATGGTTATTTTACGTCTAAGAAATTATTAATACCTGCTAGTTGACATAATGAAAAGGTTAACTATGAAGTGTGAAATTCAGCACTTCTGAAATGAAGGAGGAACACAAACCAGGAACATAAACCAGGGACACAAAGGTGGCTTGTGGTGCTACCAGAAACATTGGATGGAATCAGCATGGCAATATATGTTTTCCTGCATTAAAAAAAAATAAAATTAAAGGCTGGGTTCAAAGAGCTGTTCTGGTTCTGGAACTTGTAAAATTTAAGAGGCTTTTGGCACTATGTGGTGCTTGTATAAAGATGTGGCCTCCTAGAGCAGCCTGTTACCTATTTCTCCATCTCTCCTGTCCCTATTATATTTTTCTTTCCCTTTTACTCTCCTTGGGGTTGTCTTTTAAATCTCCTTTCCACCAGGGCTGAGAGCAGCAGCATGAGCAGGACTGGCTGATTTTTCATAGTTCACTTGCCTGAGCAATGAACTTATATATATGAATTGATGTTGACTTTGTACAATATCTACAGAAAAGATTCACTCCTTGGATTTCTGTAGAAGAAAGGGAAAGAGTAAGGCCTGGGGGATGATGCTACAAGGAGTGACTTGAGTCCTCTCCCTTTTGCAGAGCTCTTAAATGATACTGAACATTAAAAACAAGAGTTTGTGTGCTCCGCTGTCATTTTATGTTTCTAATTATTTTCTTTTTCCCTACAATGATGTTAAAATACTTCCTTCTTCTTCCTATGGATCATCTTTAAAAGAAAACTTAGGATCTCTCCAGCTGGATGTTGAGAAGATTGCATTAACAGAAAAAAAACAGCGAAAGAAACTCTCAGTGATTCTGGAAGTCGTGGCCAAGTGTTTGCAACTGGAAGAAAGTCAGCTGAAATGGAGTGTGGAATGTAGGTGCAGAAGTGAAATTGAAGAAAAATTATCCATCACAGGCTTCTTGTGCTATAAGGCTGCTATGAGGCAATGTGCTGCCAGAACAGTAATTAAACAACCTGTTTTCAATTACTAGTTGAATCAAAAGTGAGACAGAAATATCTGACCTGCCTGGGTCTGCCTCCTCTAAGTGTGTGGCTTGTGAATCACTTAAGACTCCTCAGCATCCCTGTATATCTCACTTTTAAGCTGTGCTATTGCTAAATTTTGATGTTATACAAACTGCAATCTGGTGTCCCACTGGTGTTATGGGCCCTCTATGACTTTGGGGTTCTCTGCACAGGGAGAATTCATGATGTTGGAGGGAAGTTCACATGTTTTGCACACTAAGCATTGTTTTCTTCCTTTATAGCTATCTTGACAAAGGATTTACTGAGCACACTGCATCTTCTTGTTGCAATAGCAAAGCACTTTGAACCCACCCTGGCTCTGCCTCCAAATGTTCAAGTGGAGACAATCACCATTGAGGTATTTGTAGTTTCAGTATTTGTTACAGTAGATCCTAGAGTCCTTTCACAAGGCTAACCTGCTTAGAATTAGAAGAAATGTGTGTGCAACTGTGAAAGAGATACTCGTATTTTCTGTGAATGACACCTTTCAATTTCTGAGTTTGTTGGATTAGATTGAGTATTCAGTTTGGATACTCTGTCTTTAAAAGGGGAAAAGCACTATGCTGTTTTTCTTCCTCAGCCAAACATGGGAATGGTCAAAACTGAAAGCAGATGTTGATCTCTGTAAAGAAGAAAATGAAGAAATTCTGCTGTTACTGTCTCTAAATATTTTAAAATAGAAGATTGTTCGTAAATCATTAAGTATTTTTGATGCTGAATATTTCTTTCTTTAGGTGATGGGAGTTTTACTCCCTTTCTGTTAGGGTAACATTTTGGTATTTTTCTCTACAAGCAGATATCTACATGTCTTCTTCCTCTATTTTGTTTCTTAAAGTCTGTTCTGAGACTATAGGAGAAGATTTATTTATTTTACTTATTTTATTATGATATTTTATAATATATATATTTATTTTATATTTATTTACAATAATATACTTAAATATTTATAATTGCAAAAATTACACCCAGTGTATGTAACCACAATGTTTTTCACTGCATGAAAGGGAAGAGCAGCAAACACCAAGGACTTCCTCTGGTGAGGAAGTAAGAGATTTCCTGTTTGAGACTGAAGAGAGCAGAAGGAAGCAGAAATCTCTCAAAGTATCTGGTACTAATTGTACTGGAGTTATTGACTAAGTGCCCTCTGATAATCATTTAAGGCAGCAAACAAGTCATGAAAGCTTGTTTATGGAATATTTTTGTGTGACAAACCCAACACTGTTTACTGTCCTTTCAACAGTCCATCTCTGGAGGATTAAAGACATCAAATGCGGTGGAATATATCACAGAAAACAAGTAAGAGGGGACATAGCTGTTTTTTACACTGTCAATCAGAAAAAAAACATTGTGGGTGTGTTCTGCCTTGCAAAAAGTAGCTGGGATCATGATGATGACAAAGGTGTAAGCCCAGGCAGGTAAATGCATGTGAGCTGTTTCTCTGATTTCTTCTCTTTTATTTTATTCCCCTCTTCCTGTTTGGCATTATGGTGCAATCCTTTTATTTATTCTATATATATATAAAACAATATGTATGATTGTTCCTTAAACTTAGCATTTGTTATTGCCATGGAATTTCATAGCAAATATAGTAATAAAATTTCAGTCCTGTAAATTTACCTGTGCCACACTAAACTGGAAATTTTCTAAAGCCACAAAGGTTTAAATCCACTTTAAATTTGCTGCTTTTTTTTATAAATAAAGAAAAAGGAGGCAATTATTTTCTTATTTTACTGTGAAAGAAAAGTTTTAGCTGGCTGAGTGTGCGAGGTACTGCCATTATTAAAGGAGTTTAGTAGGATACCATTTACATACCAAAAAAACATGTGCATCATTCTAAGAACTGTAAACAGATTTTCCTACTGTCATTTTTTATATGCCAAAACATCTTCAAGCTCTAATATAATGAGCAGCTTTTTGGAAGAGGATATTGAGTATTGTGCTTGTAAAATAAATGTTCATTGGTGTGTGGGCCAGTTAAAATCTCATATTTTCCAACACTCTACACAGATATACAATCTACTTAAAAATGTCTATTGGAAAGTCACTCTGAAATAAAGTTAATGCCACTTTGAACTCTATCTCCTGGTTTACAGGATAGCAGATAAGCAAAGTTTATGAACAAGATCAGCTCTGCTGAATCATTTTTCTAATTCTTGCTTTTTATTGCACTTCCAGAGAGAATATAGAAGCGCAGTCAAGTAAGTGCTGGCATTGCCAAGTTCAGTGTTTTGTTATGTGCTTTTATACACCATGTCCTGATCCATTTTTACCCCATGATAAAATCAGTATGCTCCCACTAAAGTTAATGGAGATTCATGGATTTTTTCCTCGTGTTTTTCTCCAATAGTCTTCTGTTACTGCCTGTTCATACCAACAGAATACAGCCTGGAAAATGGATGGTCACTTTGCCTGTGGGCTACAGGCAACAGATGGGAGGGGAGACAGAGCATGAAAGTGGGTTGATGACCCAAAAAAAGAAACCTGGCTGGAGGCAAAATGCCAGCTTGGATTTGTGCATGGACCATGTTCACTGTTGGAACTATTTATAAAGGCTTCAGAACTGTGTTTCTCATTGCTACCGGGTTTTGTACTTTCCTTCCCACAGTTTGCAAATGAGATTTTGAAATCCACTGGTACTGGGTCGTGGATGGCAGCTCAGTCAAACATCCCCAGAGATTTTACCCTTAGGGATTTTGAGGGCTGGGAAACATTTGAGGTGAAAAATGTCCCCGTGGGCAAAGCCTGCAGAAGCTCTGGGCGCTGCTCCAGGTTCAGTGTGAGCTGCTCTTCCCTGATGCAAAGGAGCACATTGCACCTCTAGAGAACCAAGGCAACCGTTTTAATTCTCTTCTGTGTCCTTTATTTTGGCATTTTCATCCTTTGCAGAGGTGCAAACGATATAATTTAATATCTATTTATCACTTATTCCACTGAGTGTTCTATACTGTGGGCTGAAACTGTGAAAAAACTCCAACTCTCACCCCCTGCCCACTCTCACCCCCTGCCCTAAGCCAAAAAGAAAATAAAACTAAAAAAAAAAAAAAAAAAAAAAAAAAAAAAAAAAGGAAGAAAAAACCCCAACCCATAATTAGGCATTTGTTTCTTGTAGTGGGCTGATTCTGCTGGGAAGAGAAATCTGCAATTCACTCTTCAAGATGCTCTCTCTCTATTTTTGACACGACTTTCTTAGCAAAGGGAGAAATCCCAAAGCGTGGCTCCAGAAGAGGGCTCTCTCTGATTTGTTTGATGGATTCACCTATTCCCTGGCATTGCTCCTGCAGCAACCCGCAGAACAGAGAAACCAGAGGAATCCCTTTCACCAAGGAGGCTGCTCTGTCACTGTCTTTTGGGAGGAATTTCCCTTAAGCAAAACTGCCTCTGCTTTCCTGTGCTGGAGAAACTGGTTCTCCATTTAACTGAGCTGCCAGAGTGCCTCTCCTTGCTCAGAGAGTTTCAAATATTTTGCTCATGCTTCAACCAGAGCTAGGTTGTGGCTGGTTGAGGAGATGGATCCTACTTTTGCTGCACCTGGGCAGAAAGGGGAGGTGAGGGTGGGACTTGGATGGATCTCATTTCCTTGGAAGTTTTAGACTCCTGCTAGTTCTCTGGCACATCTCTGCAGGCACCAGCTCCTCACCCACTTTAAACTGGGTGGCAGAACAGGCCATTTTTGAGGTCTCTTGTCAGAGGAAGGGTAGAGTCTCCATATCTTGCTTGTGGTTTTTTGAAGGAAGGAGGATTGGTATTTTTCTGCAAATTTGGTGTAACTGACATTTCTGTTTGAGGACAGCAGTAAAACACACAGCTCTTCTGCTCCCTGCATTTTATCCCAGAAGTTCAGGGTAAAAAAAACCACCCAAGTGAAAAGAAATAAATCACAGTATTGTGAAACTTAGCCAGTGTTCAGACTGGTGGCAGCACAAACTGAGAACCTCTGCAGGTGAAAATTACAGAGCTGAATGAAGTAAATTGTTTTCTCTGATGTGGTCAGGCTGAAGGGAAGCCTGTCATCCTGTCCTCTGATAAATATAAAGGCAGCATCTTTCTCTGCCTCCCTGCTACTCTTTTCCTCCTTGGATTGTAAATTGCAAATACCTTTCTCCTTCTGTAGCCACATTAAAGCTCTGATCTCTCAGTTATTAAAAATGAAACCAATTAATGTTGTTTTGATACAGAAGATGATGCCTTTGATGAATTATTTAGCTGTGATCCAGATAAACTGGATGCTGTAAAAAAGGTAATTACTTTTTTAGTAGACATCAAAATCTGTTAGGCTGAGCTTAAATACTAGAAAAGTCTAGAAAAGTTATTTTTTCCTTTCCTCCTTTCTTCCCTTTATTTATTTAGGCACTTTTGGAATTTGTTGACCAGCATGTTGGAAAATTAGGATTAAATGTGAAAGACATCGAATCTCAGGTAGGGTGCTCCAAGCTGCATGGTACCCATGTTTAGTCAGCTGTCTGGGTGTTTCCTCTCACCATTAGGAATTCTCCTTTTTATTACTGTAAATTTGAAATTTGGCAACATAATGATTTCCAGGTATAGGTTAAGATATCAAGCTTTGGCCTCTGAAGTTTCTGAAGCTAATAATTAATGCAAAAATACAGCCTTTGTATTGAATGCTGCCCTTTGTAATGCTACAGGGAGTAATTTTCAGAGTCTGCCCAGCTCCTAAGGGTGCTCTCTTTGTCAGGATGGAAATAAAGGTCTCCAGAACATTAAAATGGAAATCAAGTTGATTGTTGTATTTAGTGATTGTTTATGTTGCATTTGCTTCATGGTATGAAGGCCTTATTTTCATCACATTTCAAAGTCTCATCCTTGACTGTAGAGCTTCTTTGGAGTATGAAATTGCAAGAGAATTTGGGCTGAGCACCCTGGGCTCTGGTGAACAGGTGCCTTTCTGAATTTTTCCAGTGGGCAACTGTAAGAAAAGAAGGTTTTCAAGTGTTTTGTCATACCTAACTAGGCACAATTTTCTATTATTTATAGTTATGCATTTGTGCTCATCTGAAGTGTTTTCCTATTTGGAATTGTTTGTTTTAATAGCTGTACTTTTACAAGGTTGCATTTTCACAAATGTGAATTTGGGAGCCTTACCTAACTAAATATGAAGTTCACTGTGGAAGAGGTTGAGGGAGCTGGGTCATTAGACTTTTTGCCTGAGTAACATAAAAAAAATTCCTTTGTTGCTAGAAGGGCATTTACTGGAATAGCTTACTAAAGGCAATGATTTTCAGGCAATTCTTATCTAGTTTTCAGATGGGGTTGTCTTACTTCTCCTAATTGGACAGCTAGAGGGCTACTTTCTGAATTTAAGGAATTTCTTCCTGACTCCGGTCAGCACCATGGAAATGGTAGGTTGTTCTCTAATTATGTAGAGCTTGAGCCATAAAACTGTGTGTTCTGCCTCTTGCTTGCACTGCTGCTGCTATGTGTGAAGTCCCATGCCCACAGTGTTTGCAGGAGGGGGGTTTGGGGCAATGCCAACACAGGCACTCAGTGCTGTCAAAACATCTCAGAACTGGTCAGTGTCCTCTTCAAAATTAGCTTTTCATGGGAGGCAAACACCTGTTACTTGCACTTGTTTGGCATTGGCCATGCTTCTGCAGCCTTCTGGTGAAATCCAGGGCTCTGTGTGCTGGAAAATGGGTGCGTTGTCTTCTACCAGTCTGTGCTGCAAACGGGATTTGAAGAGGATGACACGTCTTGCATGGCAGAAATGGCTCCCTGTGAGTTCCTTTAGGCTGCCCTAAAAATATGCCTCAATCAAGACATGGCCAGAACATTTTGAAGGTCCCTTCTGTGTTTGGGTAACTCTCGAGAGTTTACATCCTTTTCTCCCCCAAGGCTGGGGGCTGTAACATACTCAGCCAGACCTGCTTGGCACCTTTTTCCACCTCTACCAGGCAGATTTCATCTGTGCTTTAAAAGTAAAAGCTGTCACCAGCCAGAAGGAAATGTGTGCTGGGCTGCCTCCTCCACAGGTCTGGAATGTTGATATATTTTGAGATATCTGAGGTATTTTCAGATTGTCTCTGGTGTGGGTAGGCTTTTATTCACTTGGGTCTCTAAGTAGCTCTGAAAATCTTGAAAATGTAGCTGTTTTTCCTGTTTTGTGCTCAAATCTCTGGAAGTGAAATGTGTTAGATCTTTTTTGCTTGAGAGCTGCCAGAGAAGAAAATCTCTCCTCTGGCATGGTTTGCATTACGGCTTCCCCGCACAGATGAAGCTTTCATCTTTTCCTCAATTTTGGCACAGTTAATGCCCCTGGGCAATATTTATTTGTAACAAAAATTCTCAGAGGTCCTATATTAACAAATAAATATTCCCATGGAGCTTTTAATCAGAAAGTTTAAAAGCACAATTATTTGACACCTAGGTTCAAATGTTGTCAAAATTTTATTGCTGTCAGTTGGTAACTGTTCAAAGTATTAGGAAAAAAATTTTTGTTTTTTGTTTTATGTTTTTTTAAATCCAAGAACAGGGAAAATATATTTTGAAGCGTCTAATCAGACATAATCAAAGCATTTCCTTAGAGTTGTTTTTCTTCCCTTTCTCTTCCACTCAGTTTTCAAAATTTTTTGGTCTGTTCCCATTGAGTTGGACAGAAATTTTTAACATTTCCATTAGCATTATTCAGAGGAAGTCACTGAATATTTTCTTATTTAAAAATTCATAAATAACCATTTTCCTTTTGGTTCAGCCCTATTCTAGCCTCACAGATGTCTTTCTGGAAATGAGATAGCCCTGGTACAATTCTGGTACAAATCAAAGCTCAGACTTCCTAGTTCCTACCCTGCTCATCACTGGCATCAGAGAAGAACAGAATGGGGTTGGGTACTGCTTCAGTACAATAATTTCATTTTAGCAAAGTTACTCCTAAGGACTAGACTCGCTGTCGAACAGTTTGCCAAAGTGGTATTTCCAATTTGTTTCTCCTCTGATTCTCATTACAAAATGAAAAGCAGGATGACAACTAAAAATATCGATCAGCCATAGTCCAGCTGTCATTTGTACACAAAACATCTTTCAATTCCCCTGTGCTTTCTAACTCCCTGTTATTTTAGACATTAATTGGTGCAGTAAAGTATAAAGACATGGCCTCTGCTGGGATTTAAAAGATCTCATTTGTTGTTGGAATGGCGACAACCACATGCACTGTTGGGATCAGTGTGGTGCATCCACCTTACAGTTCCTTCTAACCAAAACAATTTCATGACAGAAATTTAGGAGGTGATCAATTTTGAGGTGCAAGAAGCTAACACTGCACGTAGGTAGGTTTGCAGCAGGGTTTTTTTTTTGGGGTCTTTATTGCTAAAAAAGGCATTTACAAGGAACTGTACAGAAATGCAGCTCTGGGTGCTCGTGAGTGTAGAAAGGTGTGTGTTTTCTGAGACAAAGAATACTATCACAAAATAGTTCAGGCTGAAACTAGGGGTGATATCTGTACAGTCATGAAATGAAGATTATGATGATGATGGAGGGCTCGTGTGCTTGTCAAAACTGTGTGAATTTGGTTCTTTTGCCAAAACAGGCCCAGAGCTGAAACACCCCAGATGTCCTGGCTGCTGTCCAGTTGTAAATTCTAGAAAACTGTCCAGCTCTTTTGAGTCAGAAAGCACAGCTGGAAAAAGCACCTTATTTTCAAGGCTTCACTTTCTTGGGGAATTACTGTTATTTCTGTCTAAAGATGCTTTTTGAAATGCACATGTTGCCATTCATTGAAAATCCCCCATGTATTACAGAGAGGGAAATGTGCCCTTTTTGCCTGTGCTGGTTCACCAAGGAAACGTTTGATTTATTCATTCCAATCAGCAAATTGTGTAGAACTGCATGGTCTTAAGCTCTCCTGTCTGCTGACTATCAGAGGAAGGAAACAAACCTGAATCCAAACAGGCAGCCTCAGTTACTTGTAAACCAGAGAACCAGGTGAAACATAAATCTGTTGCTTCACTTCAGAGCACAGGGGTTTTGCCTGGCTTATGCTTATTGTCACAACATAACAAGGAACAGCAGCTTCCCAAAGGATAAATTACCCAGATTGGCCAGTAGCTCAGGGAAGGCAGGAAGAGACAATCTGAATCCCATTCAGGTATTGTTACTTTAGAGGAAGGGAATTTGGTAATTACCAGCCAAGTACACAACTACCCTTAAGCTGTTAGAAGGTGATATTACTTAAAAAAAATCAATTACAACTACTGCTTATGTGTGTGATGCTGATTTTATGTGGGGAAGGGAGAGAAAAAAGCAGTGAGGAAAAATGAGAAAAAGCCCCTCAGCTTTCATTCATAGATGTGGGCTTAATTTCTGATGAGTGTTATTAAGGATATCATCACTACTATTACTGTGAATAGACATTTTAGAAGTACAGCAGAAACTTGTAGCTAACAATCATACCTGATCTTTGCAATTCTGAAGGAAATATAGAGAACTTTTCCCTTTTCATTTGTTCCAAATGTGGTAAGCATATGAGCATTGCTTAAAAATACCCAGAAATATACTCCATGCATCCATTAGATCCAGTTAGGGATCTAGCCTGTTTTCCCCATTAACACAAGTCTTTTACATGCAAGGTCTATTTTTAAATAAATGGATTCTTCTGCCCACCTCATGGGATATGTTTTGCTGGAGATGGATTTTACATATAATTTTATATGATAATTGGTAAAAATTCTGAAGAGCACTTCATCAAAACTAAGGAGAGGAATACGAATACATATTTATGAATCAGTTCTTCAGCTACTAGAGAAATACTTTCAAAACATTTTGTTGGTTAGAAAATATTGTCAGCTATATTAATATCTCTCTCTCCAACAGCTCCACAATGTTAACCTGGCACTGGAGTTGCTAGCAGAGGGAGGGCTTCTGAATTTTCCTGTGGACTCTGAAGGTGAGTCATGACATGCAAACTTACCTGGAATAGAACTGCTAACATCCCAGCTTAACAAAAGTTCAGGTAATTGCAGGAAGCAGGTTCTGGAAATGACATTGGCACATTTCCTTATATGGCTGCCCTACAGCTCTGAAAGACCTTTTTTTTAAAAAAATCATTATTTTTATACTAAAAAGGTTGGGTTGTTATAAGTTTAGTAACTTTACACTAAACTTGAACTGTTTAGTAATTCAGTATTTGTTAAAATTTAAACCAGTGACAGCTCCTAGGGAAATTACAGCAGCTGAGCTGGAGGCAAAGCTATTTTCTTGTCTTATAAAAGCTTTCAGTGCATTAAAAGCAAGCTTGTTTCTGTGGGAAGATACCTTGAAGAATTTCTCTGGAAAATCAGAAACACTGATCACTCTATTCAAACTCAGAAGAGTGGTGGGTCAGTCTCCTGAATATGAAAGTCACAGTTTTTCTAGTGGCTTTTATGCTTGGTTAAGACTTGGGAGCTGAATCTTGATCTCCTTCATTCAAGTGAATGCTTCCATCCCTGAATCAATGTACATGCATGCTCCTCTTTCTTTCTCCACCACAAAAACAAGCAAACAAACTACATTTGGATGAGTCCAGTTTTCCAATTAAAATACTCCACAGAAAAATTTGGTGACAGCTCTTGAGAGGAGGAGGGATGTGGTTAATTAATGGGTGATGCTGTGGTTGTGAAGTCTGACTTCTTGCAGGGCACATAATCCCTGCATTCCTCTACAAGCTTGTTGCTGAAAAAGGAAGTCAAATCTTTATTAAAAGTAAAAAGTAGTATTCCAGTTCTAGCTCCCTGTTAGTTATTTGTGAGTGGGTGCATGTGTTGGGTACATAACACATGGTATCATGGAGAGGGAAAGAGAGGATTTTGGGCTTCCTTTGTTTTTCCTTTTGTTCTCTCTTCCCACTACTGCTTTGGTGATGTCAGCAGTTTGCATGCTGGGCATCCAGAAACTGTGGGCTTTTTGCTGTGCTGCACAGAGCTAGGAGCCTGGAAAGCTAAAGAGCTTTTATTTATGTTAACATTAATAGAGTAATGGGTGTGGGCTCAGGTCTCCATGCTGAGATCCACCTTTAGTGTGAAAAGAAATAGATCTTTCTTCCCCCCCTTTGGCTTTCCTTCCTCCCCTATGGCTTTTCTGCACTGCCTCAAACACAGAGCTGATCAGTATAAGAAATACTAGTGCCAGCATCCTCAAGTCCTTTACCTTCACTGTGGAAATCCTCAGCTAGTGAGTGAATTTAATACTATTTAGGAGTCATTGCTAGAGCTACACTATTTAGATTCTAAAAGGATCTAATTTTACTAGTATTTCTTTGTTGGTCTTTCTCCCAGTGATTTACAATACCATAAGAAGAACAGAAACCCCTCTGAATCCAGTACCCTCTTCCACTGAGATTTTTAAATAAAAGAGCAGTTTGTATAGCCAAGAAGAAAGAAGCTGAAAACTGAACGAAAAAAAACCTCCATACAACAGAAACAAAACAAAACCAATAAAAAACAATGCATCAAATGGCAGCAAAACATGATGGAAACACTACAACAAATAACAAAGTGTCAACAAAAAAAGTGTACAACAAAAAAATAATGATTCCTAACACAGAATAATCATAAAACCTTCAAGATATAAAGCCCTATTAAATTATCTACTCTGCTCTTTGCTAATGAATTTCTTGCTCTGCATTATTTGCCCTTATTTGTCTTCCAGCAGCAGAAGTCCCTTTTCTTCATATTGATTTAATAAATTGTTAGTTTCTACCTCTGTAGTTCCTATTTTGCTTCCTGTTGCAATTCAATTGTCCAAGTTCACATTATAATTGGGGAAATGTGGGAAACTGTCTTTGGCAGGTGCAGTCTCATCCTGTTCCAGGGATTGCTAATACTTCCCATCTGGTTTCGTTGTCTCTGGTTTGTGTATCCACAGATATTGTGAACGGAGATACGAAGGCTATAATGCGAGTTCTGTATTGCTTGTATTCCAAATACAGAACCAAAGAAGCATGAAGAACAAGGCCAAGAGCTTGAGCTGCCCTTTTTTTGTGTTCTTTTTTTTTTGTTTTGTTTTGTGGTTTGGTTTTTTTTTTTTGTTTTTTTTTGTTGTGTTGCTTTGTTTTGTTTTGTTTTTGTTTTGTTTTGTCCCTTGCAGTCCATGGTATGGTTTTTGGATTCCCAGCTCTGTTTGCCACTGCTTCTGGGCATGCACTGGTGTTTGACACTTGCTGTGTTAACACTGTATAGCAAATATGTTGTTCATGCAAGGTTTCACATACACAGCCGGAGCAACTGTAAATGTGTTTCCACAGCTGGTGTTATTCTAGGGCTGTAGCTCTTCTTCCAGATCCTGCCTTCTGTATTCCCTGAGCCCTCCCAGTGCTGCAAAGAAATTAAATGTGTGTTTTTTCTGGGCCCTGTATTCTTTGCTCCTGAAGGTGACTTTGAAAGTTGTTGCATCCCTCCCCATTTTCCTGCTTCGGGAAGTCATTTGGAAAACTAGAGATGAGAAAGACCCACCAGAGAGGGAGGGCTGAGACACACCTCAAGTTCAAAACCTGCTTTAGAGGGGTGGCCAGTGCTGTCAGACAAGAGGATATGAATGGGATGCCAAATGAATAGATAGCAAAAATGAAATGTGACCTTAGCAAGTGTTTTATAAATATTTCTGTGCTCATTTGCTTGAATATGGAAAAGGCACTCAGCACAATATGCTGGTGTGAAACTGCAGGAACAGGGGGTTCTCCTGCACAGCTGTAGAAGGATGCCCTTATTTCCTTGCTAAGCCAGTGCCAAACCACATCCAGCTCCAATTGCAGCCCTGACACCAACTCTAGCTAGTAGGGATGCCAATCCATGTCTAGCATGCTTTGAGAGGGAGTCACATCTGCACTTTTTCTGCAGTAAAAGGTGGGCAGATGCTGGCTGAGCTCTGCAGCTGGTGGTGGTAGAGGCCACTACGGGTGGGAGCAATGAATTCAGCTTCCCAGTGCCTCTGACAGCTGAGTCATCTCAAACTCGTCAGGCTCTCCTAGGTGAATTTGTCCAGCAGTTTCCTCTGGGTGCATCAAGGTAGCCACAATTTATTAATCATCACCCTCGGTCTTTCTTGGGGGATTTAAATCAGAACTCCTTTCAAAACCTTCATCTATTCTCTTGACCTTAAATTTATGTCATCTTGTATAAAACTAGAGATATAATTAGAAAAAAAAAAGTTTCAGTATTTTTTTCACTTCCATCTAAAATGAATAAATTTCCTGCCATGGGTCACTTTGACATTTGATCTCTGGTCTGATCCTCCATCTGTGTGTTAATGGGAAACCAGAGCTCACCGGGTGCGAGTGCTGACATTTACAGAGGAGAATTTGTTGTGTCTACCTCTGGATCATGCAGCCCAGGGAAGATCCTTAGATAGCAATACTGATAAGTCTTTTGAAAATGGTAGCACTGCAAACTGCCCTGAGACCAATCCCTTCTCCACCAAGAATTAGCTTGTGACGTTTTTACAGAGAAAAATACAATCTTTGGTGCCAATGAGCGACCAAGATCACTTGATTCCCCAGCGAATATTAGTCGTGGTGCTGATCTGGGCAATTTAAGTAAAGAATACTTGGTTCTTTCATTTGCAAGTCCTCACAGGCACCTTGCTTGACTCCTTAATGGGCTTCCAAGAATCAACTGGGAAACCTGAGAAGTTCATTCTTGCTTCACAGAATTTTGTAACACTGCACATAGAACATGCATTCATTGTAGAATGAAATGCTATTGAGCAGATAAACCCAGGATGTGGCTTGTGGAGAGCAGGGGTGAGGGGGCAGGAGGGCCTGGGCAGTGATTTGATAGCAGTCTGGCCTTTTCCTCCTGGGAAGTTGTCCTAAACCTCTTGCCCTGTGCTGGTGATCAGAATTCAGTTCCAGGGTGTGAGTCCAGGCATATGACCTGTGGTAGGAAAAAGCCACCAGTGCTAGGAGGATTAGCTAGTGCTGCCCTGGTTAGATGGTTCTGCTCAAGGAAACTGCTGGATTTTAATCCATGTGCTCTGAGTTTTGTGTTCCATGCCTCTGACATAAATAAATTCAGTGCTTGTACTTCCAACAGGGGAAGTCTAGATCTTGATATTTAATGAAAGAAAGGATCATATTCCTTTTCCAACACCAGCTTGCCTAAACCTGTTATAAACAAAGTCATACTTTTGAAAACATACAGGGGAGAAAAGACAGTTAATGTGCTTGAATCAAAAACATGCTGAGACCAAAAATTAATGTTTTAATCTGCTTTTTATGCTGAGAGCAAATTTCTAATACACTTGATGTGTATGACCTCGTTGATAAAGGATCTGTCTTTGATTCCTGAAACATGCTGTGGAATTTTACTAATCCATCATACAGACACCCATTCCATAAATTGGTGTAGTATACAAATGCACTATTTACACTTGAGATATAGCCACAGTCTTGGCACCATTTTAATAATAAATATAAAGTGACAGAGCCAAAAAGAATATGCCAACACCTGGTTTAGTGGGAGGTGTCCCTGCCCACAGAAGGGGTGTGGGAACTGGACAATTTTTAAGGTCCCTTCCAAAGCCCTACAGGAGCTTCTGTTGCTTTTCCTGTCTCACAGGCCAGTGGTGCTGTGGCTTTGGGTCACAGCAGTAGCTGGAAAGTGGGACAGATCTGAAGGGTTCCCAACTCTTGCTTGCTATCATCTTTCCATCATCTACCCATCCAGAATAGCCAGACTCATCCATAAAAGTACATATTTCTGGAGGTGGAGTAGCAGGGCTGTGAAGAGAGAGCTGCAGGTGGAAGGGGCAGAGTTACCAGGGTGACTTTAAGCGAATGTGGATGCACAGAAGTTTTCATTAACAGGATCAAGCCACTGACAGAGACTGGTATTGCCTGTAAAGCCTGAGACAGGGAATTCAAGAGCTGTCCCTGCTGTCAAAACTTCTTCTTCACCTTGGGAACTGGTTCTGTCAGGATCACACTGATATTTGTCACCCCCATCATGTGGCTGCACCCTGGAGCAAGGCCCTTGCTGCCTTGCAAGGGGGCAGGGGAACTTCAGATAGAAAATTCTGGCAGCCTTCACCTGCTTGATGGGTGGGAGTGCCAATAATAGTGTTTGTCCTTTCCCCTTTTCTTCCTTTCCATTTTTCCCCTTCCTTTATTCTTTCCAAATGGTTTCTATTCTGTTGTTTCTTGCAGGGAGCCATGCTCACAGTGGCTGCTATAAGTCTCTTTGGCAATTAGGTTTTCAAACCATGAAAGTAGCTCATTCAAATTCTTCTTCTCCAGGAGCTGTGTTTGTGTCTGTATGAAGGGACCTTGTTCTTTCCTTACAGGCTGCTAAAATTTCCCCAAAGAGTAAAAGCCATTGTTAGCTTTTCACAAGTGATTTTTTTTCTAGTCAAATAATATTTTAATAATGACTTGATGAAAGTGTTACTTTGAAGGAAACAAATGAGTGTATATGAGCCTTTCTGCTCACTGTGGAGATGGATGGATTTGCTCTGCCATTCAAAATTTTCTAGGATGGTGAGACTGTGAACAGGATGTAAAGACTGAGGTATGGAGAGATGAGTTTTGAGACAAGTGAAAATGAAATCAGGACAGCAGTACTGCAGACTGGCACATCTGTGCAGTCCCGTCTTCTCCATTAACCAACTCTACTTTCTAGAACTTAAAAATGAGGAGGAAAAAACTCCAAACACAATGAACCACCTCTGGGTTTTTTGCATTTTGTTTTCAACAAAGTGCATCAGGGTACCTTTGCCATTCACTTCCCCCCCGAGTTTTCTAAAGTTTTCTAAGCCTTTTCCCCTATGTCATTCCTTTATTATCAGAGTCCTTCAAGTCATTCTGCTGTAGCCATTGTTTAAAATTAAAGTTACTAAGGATTTTTTCCATTGATGCCCTCTCTCAGCCTGCACATAACTCATTTCACACCTCTCACCCAGGAGCCAATAAAATAATACAGAATAGCAGCTAAATATTAGAGGAGAATGGAGTAGCTTAGTCATAAACTGATTAGTTTTATCTGTAGAACTGTAACTGGTTGCTTAGATGGGAGTTCCCCAAATCTGCTGTCATGAAATGCTGGGGAATTGGAGTTGGGTGCTTCATGCTGTTCCCTGCACTCTGTTGCAGGTGCCTTTGGGATTTACCTGCTCCAGAGAGCTGCAGCCTGCTCTGAACTTATCCTAGGGCTGCAGCGAGCACACACCCCGTGGCAGTGGGGTGCTTCAGCTTCCTTTGGGGAATAGAGCCCAGCTACAGGGTTGTGCCCATGCTGGTAAATGGAAAGTTGAAATATAGGATCTGAAATGGCAGTGGTGTAATGAAAATGTGATCTGACCCTAAACACCGCTGAAGAACACAATTCTGTTATAAAATAGGAAAAAGTCTGGATAATTTGGGCCACATTAAGTTATACCAGTGTCACAGTAAGATAAAGACTCCTAGTGGAGTCAGATAGTTGTATTTTGTCAGCTATTCTGCAGACACGCCGACTAAAATTATAGAAGAAATTAATAAACCTAAATTTACAGCCTCATTCTAGCATCCAATTTTTCTATGTGTGCTTCCCCCTACACATTTCAGTATTTTGGCATTCTGACTCCTTGCCCACCCCAATTTTCCTTCCTTTTGTGTCTCCCTTGTGGTGCTGACATAGGTGGTCCAACAACTCCTTCCCCTCTTCATACTCTGAGCTGCCAGGATGTCATTGGGAAGGTATATGGTAGAGAAGCTGTATTTGAAATGCAAAAAAGCTGTGTAAAAACTCTGGAAACACCAGCTGGCTGCTGTGTATAAGAATGTAAAATATTTCTCAGTGGTGCAAGAAGAATTTCTTTATCCTTCCTCCAACATTAAAATAATATCAAAGATAGCAGATAACATTTTGACTGAGCCAGCGTGTTAGGGATACAGAAGTACAGCCAGATCCAGTAATGAGCTAATTTTCCTTCCCCCTTTTACCTTTTGATGCAGGGCAGCTGAGATATGTGTGTCTGTCTGTGCATAGTTTTCCTGGCTGTATTCTCTTTTTTGGCAGGAAAATGTTGAATATGGAGGGTTTGAAATTTTTGGAGTGTTTGAAAACTCCAACAGGTCAGCCTCCTCTGGTGCAGTTGTTGTATCCTGGTGTTTTTTTGTGGTTGTATAGAGGATTTCTGGATGCCCATGGGTAGGAATTGTGTGTGCAGCACTGTAGCTTCTCCTGGGTGTGTCAGTTTGGCAGTGAACAGGTGGGGCTGGGGAAAGGGGTTTTCCTGGATCTGGGACACCAAGAGGGCAAGAGCTGTTGATAGAATTTCTTGTAGGGGATCCCCACTATGGAAATATTGACTCTGGCTCACTGCTAAGTTTAGGACCATGTGAAACACGTACCCTGGACTTTATGCAGAGCAGATGGTCCAACAGGCTTTACTGG